CAATGGGCTGACGCAGCTCAATGGGCTTAAACGGCTGAGAATATGGCTTTCATGGCTTTTTCTTGTGTGACTTTTTACACTGCTTTCATCTGTAAATAATTAAGCAAAAACTAGAGAAATTCCAATTAAAAATATTATGAATAAAAATAATGAAATTGTTTAATTAAAGCTTAAATATTTTAATATTATATAAATCAAAAGCAATATTTAGGGTGCATTTTCATGCACTAATCACCTACTGATGGTCATAGAGAGAATGATCTTAATCTTGAGTTATTAGCAGACTCTTATTTGTGGATATGTGTCTTTTGACTTACTTGGTAAAGATCTCGAAACACTTAGATCTTATCCTTGTATCTTGGATACATGGAGAAATAGGTAGTCGGGAATGCTAATATTACAATATGGAATCCATTCCTTCTTAAAAAAGAAGCAGATAAATAATTTTCTTGATGGTTGATTCGGTACTTGGATTAGTTAGAGCTCCGATTCATGAATGTATTTTATGAATCACTTTCCATTAGAGAATCAATGGTACTCAAGGATAAAGATGTAATTAGAGAGGTTAACAGATTTCACCTAGCTCTAATTATGAATTAGTTATGGAGGATCGATCTATATGTAGTGACTATATCAAATAGGCACTTCATGTTCTTAGAAGTAAATTATGTATATAATTTTGAGAGTGCAATTCCAAGTTTTTTGTTGCTTACTCTCTAAGTAATACAATTTACTTGTTTGACAAGTTTTCCAATTAAATTCAAAAAGGATAGTAAAGTGTTACTTTATTTAGAATTGAATTTGAGCTAAAATTAGAAACTGGAGAAAGCAAGAAGTGTTTCTCTCTCCTCCTTAGTTTGGACGGCCACCCTATAAGCAAAAGGGAAGGAAAGTTTGTTTCCTAAATTAAAAGGGAAAGGAAAGTTTGTTTCCAAAATTAAAAAGGAAATTATATTTTAATGAGATTAAAATATAGTAGTTATTAATTTCCTATTGCTTTGTCTACAAGCAAAAGGGTTCTCCTAGTTTTATATAAATAGGAGACAATAGGAATTGAAAAAAAAAAAGATTTTGATCTCCTAATTCCCTTGTATTGGCCAAATTTATAGAGAGAGAAAAAAGAGAAGAAAAGTTCTTACATCTTCCAGTTTCTTCACATACATGCAGATAGTGAAGAAATACAAATTAGCGAGTGATCATAAATGATAGTCCTAGAGCCCACACTCTAAGTCTTGCAAGTTTCAAGGAGTAAACATGGAAGATTCGAGTATTCTGAGAAAGTTTGGAGCTTGGATTGTTCGTTGGTCAAAGAATTCAAGTTATCTTCCTACTCGTGAGTAAGATATAACTCTTGTACTAAATTAATTAGATTAATTTATTCGTTGTAAATTAGTATATTCTATAGCGTTCACAAAAGTTTTATGAAAATTTTTGTTCGGACCTGATTCGTATTTCCACGCTTTTACACCCGAATTCGATTCGGAAACCAACAACATCAACCATAGTCTAGGTGAATTTAACGTTACAAACCATAAAGTTATACGTGCCTTAGTAATAAGCAATAAGGAGGGAAGTAAATTACAACTTCTTCATTTCTGGAGATCAGGCTAGCGTCACCGGTAGTCACTATCTACTTGGCACTACTTCTAGCGTCTCCTGGGAGGGTTTAATACATTGAAAACGAAAACATAAGAAAAGTAAGCGAAAGGCCAAGTAGGATATAATTTCATAAAACTGAAACAATTTAAATCATTCACCATTTGAACCTGTCATCTGGTCAAAAATTCTGAAACATTAAGTCCTAAACAAATTTTATGAGGTCACAAGCAAAGTAAAGAATGTGGTAAACTTAACCATAGATTTATGCAAAGCCATGATATCACCACTCTCAATATGGAGTGGCCCGTGCGGATTTCGTGACCTTCCCCCAAGGATATGATCTGCATACCCCGATCTCTAGGCCATCATGTATTTTACTATTTCTCAAAATATCTCATTTTAAGAAAATATATCCTTTAAAGTCTCTTCTCATCATTATGAAAGTTTAGTAGCATAATTCATGCTACTTTCCTTAAAGTCATTCTTCTTTAAATCTCAATAATGTCTAATATGTTTTGACTTCAAAGCATTTCCATAGGTCAAAAATATTTAAAACAAGACCATCAAGGATATGGACAATAATTTCTTACCTCTTGGCAATTTAGTCTACGGATAACTTCACATTGTCTAACCGTCTATTCTTGAATCTCCACGTCCGATCGTGCCGCTGGTTTCGTCATCAAAACCATGTTTTAGAATTGAGATCTCACATCTAAAGCGAATCTAGTTCAATTATGTCCAATTGTTTCCTATTAGTATGCCTTGACTCAAATTCAAAGTTTACAACTGATTTCATAATTCAATTTGGAATTCTTTGAGAATCAGAACTCAAACAGTTAATTTGGTTTCCAATTGAAATTTAGCTCAAAAACGAGTTTTTGAAGCATTTCTACAATACGCTAACAGTTCAACAATCAGTGGGGAAAATATAAAATCTGCACTTTGAGTTCAATTTCGAGATAAATTCATAGAAAATTGCTAAAACCAGTTTCCAAACACTTCAGTATGCTCAAGAACTTAAAACCGTCAAATTCAACCACAATTTGTCCAAATCTGAACCTACATCAAAATTCATCAAACCTAACCAAAATCATACTTTCTAAAGTTAGAAATTCAAATTCAAAAGGTGTGTTTCTCAAGAAATCTTACCTCAAATTTGTTGGAAGATTCTTTCTCTTTGTTTTTTTTTTCTTCTTTCCTGCCGCGACAGGAACAACCCAAGAGAGAGAAAGGGAAAATGAGAGAAAGAGAGAGCAAGGGAGAGAGAGGAGAAATGCTGGTGAGAGAGGGAGAGAGAGTGGGTGGCCGGCGTGAGAGAAAATAGAGGAGAGAGAGAGAGAGAGCAGGGGAGGGTCTGCGGTGGAAAGAGAAGAATAGAAAGGGAAAGGAAATAGAGGAAAAAAAAAAGAAAGAAAGAAAAGAAAAAGGAAAAGGAAAAAGAAAAGAAAAGAAGAGAAAAAAAATATTAGAGGGTATTTAGAGGAAAAAAGAAAAGTAAGTGTATTTTTAAAACTGAAAGTAACTAAAATTTTAAATGACATGATTAATTAAGAAAAATTAATATTAGACACACTAATATATTACAATTAACATAATTAAACCTACTTAAATCTTCCGGTTGTTACAGTTCCTCCATTTATAGATTAAAAAAAAACAGAGAAAGAATTCACCATCAAGGAGTATTTTGAATGAGCTATGCTTTTTTTTAATGGCTATCTTTTTTATTACCATTATAAAAACAGGTTTTTTTTTTTTTAATGGCTATCTATTTTATTACCATTATAAAAACAGGTACATTACTCAATAGGTCGAATCTCTTAAAATGAAAGAATCAATCTCTTAACTTAAAAATTAATACAAAGAAATTCAAACTTGTTTATAAGTAACTAATATCAACTTTCTCTAATAACATGTCCTCCCTTTTTTTTTTCTTTTTTTCTTTTTAAGTTTACCACGATATGTCCATGCTAGAAAACAATAAACGATGTGTTCAAAATTTAAATGACGACAAACGTCAACTTAAACCATCAAACCGATTGCCAAGCGGAGCGGAGGGGTATTCGGTTGGTTTATCATCGATCATGGATTTTTAATGTCTATGACACTATTCATATTTTAAAGTTTCGACATGAATCATGAGTCGAAGTAACAATTTAAATCGTGTTATTATCAATCTAAATTTTTGTGTCAATTTAGAATCAACCCACGTGTCAGTTATCATCCATTTAGTGAAAACCTAACTTAGATTCGTATTATTATAGTTAATATAAATAATTTAATTGTTAATTTATTTACTGTCTTTCTATCTATATTTTACATTGTTAATATAAGTTATAAATCTTATATTTTCAATATTATTGAAATTAAATCTATTAAAAAAATATTTCTCCACATTTGTATATATTTTAAATAAAAAAATATAATAAATCGAGTCACTTAGTGTCAATTTCATGTCAATATTATTAAGATTTGAGGTGTATAGAAATACTTTATTTAAAAATTGTTGGAGAATTTGAGTGTAGAGAAAGAAAAGAATGCAAATAAAATCTGGGTTTGAGGCGTATATAAATACTTTCTTTTAAGGTTTATTTACCCTCACTTGTCAAAATTTGCTAATGAGTTTTAATAGAAAAATACTCCTAAGATACAACAAACCGTTGAACATAATATCTAGTAATAATATTATGTTTCAAAATAAGAAAGTTTGTAAATTTTTTAGAGAATTAATAAAAATAGATGTGTCATTTTATGAATGAACACATCCTCTACAAACATAACAATCATTCATAAGAGTACTTTTTCAATGTAAAAATATATTTTTTTTAAATTAATACATCTATTACAACAGATATATTTGTTACTAATAAATATTCAGATATATAAAAATATATCACAAATAATTATAACGGTTCGACACAATTCAAATCACGAAACACGCGCACAATTTTTCAAAACAGGCACTGCACCGAATGAAATATCCGCTGCAGCTCGAGCGCTGCACGAGATGCGTTACATCGCGCTACCTACGCGCTGCAGCGGTCTTGCTGCACAGACAGCACGTGTTCGGTGTTGTCTTATCCTCTGCAGCACATTCCACATGCGATGTAACGGTTTTGCTGTTCAAACTGTCTTCAAATGTGTTTTAACAGTCCAAAAATTCGTGATCTAAATTGAAAAACATATTATAATCTCTCTAACTCGTCGTCTTTCAAACTAATCATCTAACGACATTAATATCCAAAATATTCTTATAAAATTTGTATAAAAACTGAAAATATTTTCAGCCACTTTATTGACCTAATCCAAATCTGTTGACTGCTGCGTGAGATGAGAATAATTTTAAAAAAAAAAAAAAAATCAAGGCTACAACTGTCTCTTCATTTTGACTTTCTTTTTCTTTTCTTTTTTTTTTTTCTTTTTTCTCGCGAAACATATCTGTAAATTTTTATTTAGGGCTTCTCCAAAAAGTCGTTGAATCAATGGCGGGAATTCTGTGAAAGAATTGTCAATCACTCTGCTTGAATTGCTTGCGTCGGCTCTCTACAGAACTCGCCAGATGTCTTTTGTCGACGAATTTGAAGCCAGTAAGCTCCTCTGCGATTCTTCTTCTGCTCACTTACATTCTTCATTTTAGGAACCCTAACTTGATTTTCTTGTACATTGCAAACAATTGGCTTTTTAAATCTTTTATCTTAGGTTAAATTTTTGGGAAATTGTATTTAAATTTCAATCGTATTTGATTTTCGTTCTGTATTAACCTCAAACTCGTGTTTTATTAGTTTGGGATTTAAAGATTATAAACATTTGTTCCCGTGGTAACACCAGAGGTTTTTTTCTTTTTTTTCTTTGGCATAAATCTATTAAAAGTTTTGTTTTGTTTTGTTTTGTTTTTTTCTTTTTTTTTTGTTTCAATTTTGTTTTCAAATTTGTTCATACGATTACTACACAAATGTATAATTACATATTCAAATCTCTTGTTGTTTAAGGTTTCTTACTTTACTCTGAAATGCTGTGCAGACCTTGAATCACTGCCTAATATTTTGCAAAAGAAGTATGCTTTGTTGCGTGATCTTGATAAAAGTTTACAAGGTACGCTTTGAATATATACCATTTTAAGTTATATTCCTTATTTCGTAAAGATCACAGTTTATTTATATTTTCGAATTGCTTTAATTTTCCCCTGTGATTCTGAACTTTAAAAAGGAGAGCATGATCGAATAGATTCCAATGTGACAACTAGATGTTTTTAGTTAAGAGTTATGTACTTCTTCGATAAAATTCTTGATCACTAATTTCTTTGATCTTTAAACAAAACTAGTATGGCACAAAAAGATTACATTTGTTTGAATTTGTTACACTTGTTTGACAATCACTTCTTTAGATGAAATGTTATCATCATAAACTTCATCTATGCGAGAATTAGGGTCGAGCTTGTATGGTATTATACCAGGAAATGCCCTTTGATTCCTTATTGACACGATTTCAAACACACACCTTTTTTTATGGGAATAGAGTTGGGTGATATTCATTTGCTAGTTTACTTGTTTGAATTGGCACCCAATAAAATAAAATAAGCTGCAAGAATTATACATGTAGATATCTTTTATACAGTTTGTTACCTCTTACATTTATGAGCAGATATTCAAAGACAAAATGAACAACGTTGTGAGCAAGAGATAGAGGATGTTAAGCGGCAAGTTAAGTCTGTAAATATCACAGCCAATAATTCACTTGCTAGATTCTCGGATGAGGCACTTGATGAGCAAAAGCACAGCATAAGGATTGCAGATGAGAAAGTGGTGTTAGCTGTTCAGGCTTATGATTTGGTATGTGTTCTCCATCCTCGAAGTCTCCTAGTTTTCAGTTATGTAAATAAACCGCTTGGAAGGGATCTAAGAAATTATGCCAGAATTTGGCGGACCATTAGTAGCATAAAGAACTAAACTATAGCAAACTGCAGCATGGCAGTAGGCGGATCTCCTAATTTTGGAATCTTTGACTTTACTTCTATTCTACTTTAGAAATCATGAGGACTATCCCTACGGATGGTTGCTAGTATACAACATTCTGCAGATTCTTTAAGATATGTTCTATTTGGCTGTCATAGAATTCATAGTTGTTATCGTTTCAATGAAAAATAATGAGTGAAAATATTCTTGTGGCCAGAGCTTGAAAAGACTATAGAATTTTATTCAACCTATTAATCCTTTGGTTCACCGTCTGCTGACCCTGTCAATACATCATCGTCCTTCAGGTGGATACGCATATACAACAACTTGATCAATATTTGAAAAAATTTGATGAAGAACTTCGACGTGGTATTTCACTTGTATTCCCTTGAAATTTTCCCAGCTGGCTTAGTCTTTACTATGACTCCATCAAATAAAACGATGTCTATGCCAGCTTCCCTTTTCTCTTTGGTGAAGCCTCAAGCTGCTTCATCTCAGAATACTTATCTAATGTACACACATAAAAGAGTTTCTATTCTTGTAACTTTCTTTAACAAAATGAATTGCAACAGAAAGAGAGGCTGCTGCTGCTAGTAATTCGAACACTGCAAGTGTGGATGGAGGTGCAAAATCTGGCGGTAGAGGAGGCCGTAAGAAGTATCAATCTTTTCTTAGTCTGCTATTTTATCTAGTGCTTTTCCTCCTTCTTAAGTCATACTTAGCTTTTGATTATATTCGGTAAGTTCATTCGACGCAGTGTAAACTACTTTATCAGATTTAGTAGGTTAGATCCTTGATACACTCTTT